CCCCCGGAGCTTTCTTGGCCTTTGCGGCCCTGATGTATCCCTTCAGTTCTTCCACAGAAGCTTAGACGTATTAGTGAAGAGGAGCGACACTAAATGGAAAACCCACTCACACGGGACAGTATCTGAACCATGAATCCAACCGCCATCAATTGATTCAAAGAGGAATCATCAAAGACTCTAGTAGACGGTGCTTTCGGGCTCTGTAATACAAAGGAAAGCTCGAAAAAGAACTATAATCTGTTCAGAAATGAGAGAGACTAAAGCAGTATATCTATATATTTTAGTGCCATAATTATTTACTCTCAACGAATCAAAAAAATGAATTTATACAACGAAAATTCAGTAGTAACCAAGACATTCTCCAACAAATAGGTATTTAGTTGAAGGGGGTTGACAAAACATTGTTTTTTGAAGGCGGTATAAATAGATATTCCTTTGAATTATACTGTCAACAGATATATCGCACCCATCAATAAAGATCGACTTGGCTTTTTAGCGGGGTTATTCGTGATATTCTTCAGTTTACTTCTAGAGCGCGTTGCATAAACAGCTATACAACATGGAAGCTATTTGTTCGGGAATCGTGAAGCGTCCGAAATTGTCACCATTAAATATAAATGAAAAAACAATTGTTATGAATGTATATAATTCATAGAAGAAGTGCAAAAATGCCTGAGTATGACTGGTGTCAATAGATCGACAATTTTTAGAATTCTCAAGGAATTTTTTTTGTTAGCCCGATGTCTTCAGTTCTTTCAAATGCAAGGTGATATTCATCAAAATTGTTATTGTTGTTTCACTAAGAATTCAACTATTGCCTACGAAAATTATTCGTGCCTGTTTGAGGAAGAAATATTTCAATAAACTTAAATGTGGTTCCCACGATTAGCAATTAATTATTCAATTCATTATCAAGTTTTGAAGGTTGGTCTAGATAAGAATCATTCTTTAAACGCAGATGATGACTGATTTCCTGCAAAATTGAATCAGTGGGTTAACAGATGAGTTATGTTTGTTGATACAGCTTGCCCTAGTTTGAATAGCTTAATGAAATATTTCCAAGAATATTTCAACAATTTTTCAGATAGGAAACTCAGGGAAATTTGAATTATATTTGTAAACTCATTTGACAGCTGCTATAATCCCCATAAAGAAATATTCTTTTCTGGGCA